AATAAAGTTACGTTGAAACCAAGCACACCATTGTTGTTCTTGTGACATTACCAGTAAGTTTGATGTGTCACATGGCCCTCTTCCTATTGAATAAACAAAAGTTGTATCCAAGATGGCCGACTTCTAAATGGCCACCATGGTCACCACCCATCTTGAGGAGTTTGCCCCCTCACATATACTAATGTGCCACAACAGGACTTTAATGTCACCAACCATTCCCATGTTATTACGGTGTATTCATATAAATGCCCCCCCCTGTACAATGTGGAATTAAAGGAGCAAATAGTACAGAAGTGCATCTCATGTGTTTATTGTTGCATGTCATCTGTGTCCTCATGTTTCGCCTGCCGCGGCTGTTGGTTGGAGGAGTTGCAACATCTTGTCAACAGAAGACTTTTTAGGTTTTATTGGATTTTTTTATATATAGATGAGTTTTATTGGTGGGAGTTTTATGGTTTGCTGTTGCTGTTGTCCACGCAGCCTTTAGAGTAAGCCTGTGGCTTCACACAACAGATTTCCTTCAGTTTTATTCCCTTGTTAGGTTTCAGCGGTACAGCTGCATTAGGCATTGTACTGATTTGCTTTCTAGTTATTGTGCATCAGGCGGCTGAAGCCATTGGCTCGGGAGTACCGCCGCAGTTTGTTTAAGACAGTTTGCCTTCCTCACAGCTGACAGTATGGTACATAAATATCCACTGCTAGTATGCACAGAAGACTAGGCTGAGTGAGTTAGTTTTAATAGGCAGATTAGTGGGGGATATTGCTCCTGTTAATTGTGTGTCCAAGATTTATTGCCTGACCAACGTGTTTCGGCTTGTGGCCTTCATCAGGGTCATCCTGGGTGACCCTGATGAAGGTCACAAGGCGAAACGCAGCTTTATTGGCTGAGCAACATTCTCTGTTTTTGCTACCAAGGCGTGACATTCAGTTTTTTGATGGTGATTCGTTGCAATACCAAACCTTTATGAGAGCTTTTGAAGACATGGTGGAGAGTCAAGCTCACAGTGCTAAGTATTGTTTATATTTTCTCAAGCAATACACCAGAGGCCATCCAAGAGAAATGGTGAGAAGCTGTCAGTATATGCCTGCTGAGTATGGATATGCTAAAGCTAAATCTTTGCTCCTGGAAAACTTTGGCAATTCGATGAAAATTGCTGCTGCCTACATTGAAAGGGTCAGTAAATGACCTCCTTTAAAATCTGAGGATGTGAAGGCTTTGCCGGAATATGGGTTTTTATTAAGGCAATGTTGTAATGCAATGGGAGATGTTGAGTCCTTGCATGAGTTTAATGTCTCTGCTAACATGCAAGCAGTTATGAAAAGCTTGCTTTATAAAATCAGGGATAATCAGGAAATGTTGCGTCCGATCTGTTGAAGAGGGTTCACTCTAAAGTGGTTTTTAGTGATGTTGTTGAGTTTGTCAAAAGGCAAGTGAAGATTGCAAGTGACTGCGGCCGGTGGGCAAAATAGTGCTCTGTCCATAATACCAGTTACAGTGAAGTCCAAGAAAGGATAATCAGTCACTGATAACCTATGCTTTTCTAGATCCTGGGAGTTCAGCTTCATTTTGTACTGAAGGGTTCATGAATTGGCTGAAACTTTCAGGAAGGAAAACTGGCATTCTTTTACGTACAATGGGTCAGGAGAAGATGGTCAGTAGTTATCTTGTTTCAGATATGGAAGTAGTGGGCTTGGATTTAGATCACTACTGTGACTTGCTTGAATTATTTACACAGAAAAGCATGAATGTTCATCAATGCAATATTGCCCGATTGCCACATTTGCACCATATTAAGATATTGGAGATAAATTCTGGGGTAGATCTGTTGATCGGAACCAATGTGCCCAAGGCTTTAGAGCCATGGGATGCTGTTAGAAGTCAGGATGGAGGTCCCCATGTAGTAAAAACTATGCTGGGTTGGACGGTGAATGGTCCTTTCAGAGAAGATTGCAAGACTGATATTTTTGATGTGAGTGTCAATAGGATTTCCATGGTAAGACTGGATGAGCGGTGGGAACGTCAAATGAAGGCTGATTTTCCAGAATGCATTCAGAATGAGCAGTTTGCTTTGTCTAGAGATCAGCAGTTTATGAAGTCAGTGATCGACACTGTTAAGTTGGTTGATGGTCATTATACCATTGGTTTACCTTTCAGGTGCAATCAGGTAAAAATGCCAAATAATAAGAAGGCTTTAGAACAGCGAGCTATGAGCCTTAAACTGAAGTTTATCACGGATGGCTTATTTCATGTCAGTTACACCACTATTATGACTGGTATTATTTCCAAAGGGTATGCAGAGAAGGTGCCTACTGAAGAATTGGATCGCGGTGATGGAGGGTTGTGGTATATTCCACATCATGAGGTGCATCACCCACAGAAGAAGTAGTTGCGGGTTGTCTTTGATTATGGTGCTTCATTTCATGGAGTGTATCTGAATGGACAGCTTCTGTAAGGCCCAGTTCTTACTAGATTGCTAGTTGGGGTAATAAGTGCGTTCCGTAAAGAGCCTGTTGTGCTAATGGCAGATATTGAATCTATGTTTTATCAGGTCAGAGTACAAAGAGAAGACGCAGATCTGTTAAGGTTTCTGTGGAGGCCAGACGGAGATCATAGTCAGGATCTGGTGAAATACAGAATGAAAGTACACCTGAGGAGCCACCTCACCTCAAAGTTGTGCGAGTTTTGCCTTGAGGAAATGTGCAGAGGATAACAGAGATCAGTTCAGACTTGAAGTTGTCAATAATGTTCTACATAATTTTTATGTGGATGATTGCCTTACCTCTGTTGGGTCTGAAGCAGAGGCAGTGTTGCTCCATCAAGAACTTGTTGCTGTTTGTGCTAAAGGAGGCTTTAAGCTCACCAAATGGATTAGCAACAGAAGAGCAGTACTCGCTGGCATACCTCAGCAGGAACACTTAAAAACAAACCTCTCACAAGGAGAGGGATATTGTCCCTTGTGAGCTCGATCTATGACCCTTTGGGGTTTTTGGCACCTGTTGTGTTGCCTGCTGAGTTAATCCTTCAGAAATTGTGCAGAAATCGTTGGGGCTGGGATGATGTGTTGCCAGTTACTGTTGGACAAGAATGGACAGTTTGGCTGAATGATCTTTGCCTTCTTGCAGATTTTAAGGTTGACCTTTTTTTTTTTTAAACCTAACTTTGGAGATGTTGCTTCTGCTCAGTTACATCACTTTGCAGATGCAAGCGAGGAGGGTTATGGCACAGTCAGTTACTTTTTGCTTTTTGTAATATATTAGAAATGAAATTTCAAGGTTTAAAGTATTTGTAGCAAACCGGGTGACAGAGATACTTAGTGTCCAAACCTTCTCAGTGGAGATATGTTAATACATCATGTAATCCTGCTGATTTGACTCTTAACCATCTGTTGCTGCTTAAGACCAAGCCATTGATGCCACCAGGAGTGTTTTAGGAGGATGTATATGGACGACGTCGATGGAGACAAGTACAGTACATGTCTGACCTGTTCTGGAAGCGCTGGGTTAAAGAGTCCCTGCCCCAGGTTCAAGAGCGTCAGAAAAGGCAGAGAATTGGACGGAACGTCATTCCTGAACTTCTCAGGGTGAGAGGTTCAGGCATCCGAGAGGGGCTCAGAGTAGAGGCGCTGCTCCTCCACATCAAAAGGAGTCAGATGAGGTGGTTCGGGTATCTGACAAGGATGCCTCCGGGGCGCCTCCTGGGTGAGGCGTACCGGGCATGTCCCACCGAGAGGAGGCCCCGGGGCAAACCCAGGACACGCTCGAGAGATTATTTCTCTCGGCTGGCCTTGGTGTTCCCCCGGAAAAGCTAGAGGAGGTGGCTGGGGAGAGGGAGGTCTGGGCTTCTCTGCTTAGGCTGCTGCCCCCGCGACCCGGCCCTGGATAAAGCGGAAGAAGATGGATGGATGGTCATTTCGGGGATGTGGTTATCGTTGTCGATGATTCTGCGCCTCGTAACTCTTGGGTGCCTGGAAGCGTTGTGGAAGCAATTTCTGATGGTAAAGGACTGTATGTCAGCTTCGTATTAAAACAAAGACTGGTTCTTTGGACGGGCCGATCATTAAAGTGTCTCTTTTAGAGGAAGCAGAAGAGTCATGAGGATTATGTGACTTTATCAAATGGCTACTTGAATGAATGTGGATGTGTTTATTTTTGAATAAAATTTTATCCTTGAATGTTTGATAAAGGATTGATTATGTCTATCAATGTCTCCTACATGGTAAGTATGACGTAATTATTGATCTGAAATAATTAGGGGCCGGTATTTAGGAGCCATATGAGTTGAGTCGTTCCTTTTTTGGATTAAGAGGGTTGGTTTAAATGCACACACTGTATTGGTGCACGGGTGTGGGGCGTGACTCATGGGTGTGTTAGGTGATAAAGGTGGTTGCACTCACCTGTTCACCACACCTGATGTTGATGACACGAAGGTAGCGTGAACATGAGGGGAAACTTTCTATTGACCACAGCTTGAGTCATTTTGATGCATTTTTGTATGCAGCCTGAGTTTGGTTTAGTGCACTAATTGATGCCATAGGCCGATGTTGTAGTTTGACATAGCAATTGGTGTAATGTTTGTGAGTTGTGTTCATGTTTGTGCAGTCTGTGCATTTGTATCCTGTTTGATCCCATGTGCTTATTTTGTATAGTGGACATTACAACGTGGAATTAAATGAGCAAATAGTACAGAAGTGGATCTCATGTGTTTATTTTTGCGCATCATCTGTGTCCTTATGTTTTGCCTGCCGCGGCTGTTGGTTGGAGGAGACGCAACAAGGGATCTTGGTTCAAGCCCTGGCTGGATCCCTTCATAGTAGAGTTTGGTTGGTCTCCCTGTGGTTGTGTGGGTTTCCTCTGAATACCTCGTCTTCCTCCTGCACTCAGCTGAGTAACACCCAGGGTTACTGTTCAGAAGATGTTTTTGAGATTTAACTCATTTAAAGGAGTTTAGATTTTGCTCCCAGCTGTATAACCCTATTGTTGCAGCCCTACCAGCCACATTATTTAATCTTTAATCTTTAAAAGTCAGACAACTTAACTAAGCATAGACCTGCTGCTGGTCATTGTTTCTTTGTCATTTAAGTGACGCAAATATTCAATTCCTAATTTGATGACGTGACAACAGGTTATTGTTCCTTGTTGTTAGTTTTCAGTTTTTAGAGCTGTTGGACTCGACCTGAAACAGTGATTTAAACTGTGATTTACTCTCGATACTGAAGACTGTTTTTCTTGTAATGCTTTAACTCCAGTTTTAATACATCTGAATCCAGGAGCAGCACTCCGCTTTGCAGTGACACTAGTCACATTTAGAGTTTGTGTTATGTAATTGCCAACTGTGACCACAGGGAGGCACTGTGTGACAAAACTGCTTTGAAAAAATGACAAAGCAGTAAACTTCTCTGATTCTTCTCTCTTCTTGTTTTATGAGAAAGCAGATCTGTTTCTGACTCCAGTCTAAAAATAGTCAGATCACCCAAGAAGTCTACTTTTAATTCTTTTCCTGGTCTTACTTGTTAGGCAAGTCACAGCAAAGAACTCCTGATATTTTAATGTGATATCATGTTTCACCTTGTTGGCTGTTTGTCTGCGGTGAGCTGTATTCCTATATGACCTCCTTCCTTATCCCAGATTTAATGTAAACCCAGAGAGTTATCAGCTGTTTAAGAATCTCATTGTTTGTATTTGTATCATTGTTTCGGTATTCCTTATAGACCTTCTTTACTGTCCTTGCTCTGTGCTGTGTAATCACTGAATCTTTTCAGATTTGTTTTTGACACCAAGCATCATTGTAAGTACATATAAAACGTGAGTTTTTAATTTACTCCATTTGGATTCTGTGTTGCTATTTATAAAAGACATTTTGTCACAAAGACCCAGTATTTGTATTTCAGTCTTTGTAATTATGTTCTTTGATTGTTCTTGTTCATGTTGTTGGGTTTCTTTAGCTCTCAGTGATCTTAGTCGCGTCACCTCAGCCTGTGTTTGAGTCTCTGTGTTGTTCGCCTCCTGTCACTGTTAGTTACTGTTGTCTCTGTGCTCCATGTTCTGTTTCTGTGCCTGTCATGTGCTTCCTGTTTTATTTTGATAGTCCATGTCCTGTGTGCAGTGTGTCTGATTTTGCTTCCTCATCATCTCATTATTTGTCCCGGCTGTGTCACCACCTGTTCCCCATTCTCTCGCTGTCCTGCTTGAGTATTTAAGTGTTTCTCTCTGTTAGTTGTTGTATCGTACCCTCACCGTGTTGTGTTTTCGCCTTTGTGCTTGTGGTAACATCTTAGTTCTCTGTTAACGGTTTTCCAGTTAGAGCTTCGTGCTTTGAGTTTAATTTTTCCTGCTGATAGTCCTGCATTTGGGTCCTTCCTCCTGCCACACAGCACACACTTAGACACATTTTAAGAAAGACAAATTAATGAGGAGTGAAATAAAAAATGAAAAAAGCCACTGCAGGACTCCTGTTTGATCTTTGTGTCATGAAAGCTGTGAAGAGCACATCAGGTTTTCATCAATCTCAGTAAACTGTAAACTGATCTGAAGCAGAGTTTGGTGAATCTAAAGTAGGATTGCAAAATGATCATAAATGTCTTGGATTTCATATTTTTATTGATGAAAAAACACTTTACATCAGTTTTAACATCAGAGCAGATCTAACACCACGTTTAGCTCTCTACATGCAACTATGTTTTTCTCATTAGCAGAAAAATTAAGACTATTACTGAAGCTATGCACTGACTAATCTAAAAAGGCGACTCATGCATCTAAGCTGATAGAAATATTTAACGATACTCTCAATTCAAAATGACTTCATTGTCTCGTATCACTGATAGAAACATAAACACAAACTCGGATTTCGTCACTGTGTGATCACAGTGACTGCTGGTTGAGCCATATAAGCAGCTGGCACTGGTTGTACAGGCATCATCATGGGTGCCTGCATGACTGGAACAGGCTGCATGTTCACAATGTTGTTATTCTGTATGTTGACCACAGTGGGGGCTTGCTTACGATGCTTTAACTCACGATGCATCTGACACCAGGAGCACGTGCAGCAGCAACAGGAAATTGCAATATCCTTACAGAGAGAGCCCTGCAGAGAGACGGTAAAACCATTATTTCTTTCTTTCTGCTTCATGACATTGTCTCACTGTCACTGCTTCATACCTTGATGCCATATCTGTTTCGCATGGCAGCCCTTAAAGACAAGACTGCAGGAGGTGGAAAAATTGGAAGGCCAAAGACTGTCGACACAACACAACAGCACATATCACACAAAGGGAGACAGTTGTTCTCTCCAAACCTTCCAGCAACGGTGCAGGCGAGGCAGGGGCCGCACCAGAAACCATAGCAGCCTGAAAAACAGAAATACATCACCAAAGTGTTAACATGTCTGAAGTGCCTAAGACCCCAGAAATGACAAGAAAAAGATCTTAAAGTTCATCTTACAAGTACTCGCATCCTCAAAGCAATCCAAGAGACCACTGTCCCAGTCTATCAAGGGTTTTTCTGCCATTGTGTGTTGAAGTTCAGCCACAGACACTAAATAATTACTCTGTAAAAGCAGAATGAAGTAGAGAAAACCCAAATAC